CGCTTTTCTTTATTTCTTAAATGTCTGATGTTGTAGTTCTTTACGTTGCTGTTCAGAGGTCAACAGTTCTTGTTCAGTGAACTTTTTACGTCCAACCCCACCCTTGCAAATCTTCGTCTTAAAATCGATCATAATAGTTTTCGTAATCGTAATATATCGAGTATATATGAGTAGTATTATTAGTATCACTTTACCTTGTTGCAGTTGTTGGATGTGGTACTTCAAATAGTTGATAACGTCTTTTTTCACTTTTCTGATGTTTTAGGACAACTGTCAGAAAATTATCAATAATGCGATTCCACGTGCTTCTTCTGGAGCAGTGATAATGCGACTGGCTCGGTAGTGAAGCGTTATTTGTTTACTCGGCATTGTTGTGTTGTACTGGGCATTGTTGTTCCACAACAATGCCCAATGTTGACGTCATCAACAATGTAAAGAGATATTTGTTTATACTCGGCATTGTTGATGACGTAATTTATTGACGACAACGAGGAATCACAAATTTTTATAATAAGAATAGACACGACATTTATTGAAAGAATTTACGTAACATTAAAAATAAAATTATGCAACTTGACGAAAATCCAAGTTTTGGGGTACCTAGCGCAGGCATTTAATAAACATAAAGCTCTGCGTAAATAAAACCGACGCCGATCACAGATGTATAACGTACTACACCCGACAGTTTCCATGTGTATCCACCACAAATTAATAATAACCAGCTGGAATCATAAAAATATCTACAATTCTTCCTTACTCCATGGAGCCAAGTTCTTCTGAGCAGCCAACAGCTGCTGAGCCACACAAGAAATTTCCAACCTTTTATGGAATCCAAAAGTTCATTACCATGTTCACAAGAGCCTGCTATTGGTCGTTATCCTCTGCCAGATAAGTCCAGTTCATACCACCACATACTATTTCTCTAAGATCCATTTTAATATCTACCTATGTCTGGGTTTGCCCACCAAAACTCTGTATGCATTCCTATCTCACATGCTGGCTACATGCCCTGCCCATCTCATCCTCCTCGTCTTGAACAGTCTTTATATTTGGCAAGGATTGCTACTTATGAAACTGCTCATTATGCAACCTCATAAGGACAGGCTCAGGTACTAATGGATCATGATAACAGTAATATGCCTTGATAATTACTAGTCAGTTTTATTGCCATCCTTGTAAACTGGTACAATAAAAGACTCCTTCCACTGCTGAGGCAAATCATCCTTATTACAAACAGAATTAAGAAGTTTATGGATCTCAAAATAAAATGTTCCAAAATATCTACAAACATGTACATAAACATAGAGACACAATATAATGATATTGAAGGACATGACAATAGCAGGGTCAGTGATGGTGGTAGTGGAGCTGCAGTAGCAGAGTAGAGTAGAGTAGTGCACCAGCAACAGAATAACAGCAACAGTAGTAACAGCAGCAATAAAGAACAATATGCCAAACAGGCTACTTCTTATAAAATGAGTATGAATTCATATTGACTAGATTTCCAATCTTGCTAGAGGATCAGATATTCTGAAAGAGTAATCATCTTGAAATAGACCTTGACCATATCCTCCCCACTCCTATCTAGCTCAGTGCTGCATATATTTTATTCATCTTCTCTTCCCATGTCACATGCTCACAATAATGAAATACTCATTTATTATACAGGTGTAGGTCTATACTGCATAAAGAATAAAATATCACCAAGTTGAAGCAAACACCTTACCAATCCAGTGGTTTAAATAGTGCACATAGGGTAAATCTGGAGGAGATGTCATACTTTTGTAACATTTGTCTTAACTCAACACAAAAATGGTCAAAACAGCAGATAATTCAGAGATATTATATTTAAGATCTCTATTATACTATGTGGTAAGAAATATATCTGCAGAAAATGTCTCAGAGATACAAGCTGATAAAAACAGTTGTCGATGTGGTCTCTCTCCTGGACATGCCAGTATCAGGGAGAAATGCCACTCTTTCAGAATATCATGTGAAATCAAAAAGCAACATATGTAAATAAAAACAAATGTACTTTATTCAAACTAATGATGTAATATGAACATAAAACAGAAAAAATAAGTAAATGACATAAATACAAATTTCAATATAAAATGATACTCAATTATTAAGTAATTCCTAGATTCACTTTTGCTTGTTGCTATTTTCTTCTTGCAACAGATTTCTGCTGCAATCAATGAATTTGTTTTTGTGTGTACAGACAGCAGACAGAACTCACACAATCAGTTCCTGCAACACACACACTTTATACAGTCATCTTTTCTGTTCAAACACAGTTTTCTAAGCACTCACAACACAATTTTCAGGTGTATCTTGATTAGAACTTTCTTTTTCTAAGTTTTCCAACCTTGTAGACCTGAAGTATTGGAACTGTTGCCTTTCTCCTCTGCTCTTTAACTTTATTTTCTCTTCTTTCACCTATCCTAGATGTTAACTGCTTCAGTAACTACAAAATACTTGTCTCCTTGAAGATGATTTCATTTTGATATTTTCAGCACTGGACTAATCTTCCTCAAAGGTTTGGAGGGAGTAATTTCAAGAAGCAAAGCAACGGAAGACAATACAGTATTCAAATTAATTGTTAAAGGTCCTGCAGGGGTAGATACATTTTCAGAGATTGTTCAAGAAAAGGTGCAGAAAATTGTTTTGACAAAAAATAGAATATTTTTATCAAAAGAATACTCATGTTTATGTGTATGGATCATCTGCTTCATTGAGAAATTTTCATATTTTACCCTAACCTGAACACAAAATGAACTTATGAATAACTTTGGAAAGGCACAGAAACCAAGAATTTAAAGGGTAGAAAGTCAGTATAGAATGGGTAAATATGGCATATAGTAGCAACCATAAAGAGCTTTCTGCTACTCCAAAACTAATGTTACACTGAGAGCGATAGTTGGCAAAGAGAACCCACACTTTAATGACAGTCCAAAACTGCTTATTATACTTCAAACCCTAGTACTGAAGAGGGCTTAAAACTATACATGGAACTCAGACCTCAACCTAACACCACCAGGTCTCATATGGCTAGGAAGAGGAAAATATGGAGGCAAGGGCTCATGTGATCAGGTAAACAATTCAAGATAAAGAAGACAGAAGAAACGGGGTGTAAAGTTATTAATAAAACCCTCATACAAGATATTTTCACGCTCAACACACTCCACATTGCAAACAATAGAACATGTTACTCACTTTCTCGCTATGTGACAGTTCTGTTTGAACCACTGCACTGTGTCCTTCACTGCCTGTTCAAATGGTGTGAACTGGAAATGAGGTATTAGGCTTCTCAGTTTAGCATTACTTGCAGTTTTCTTGAACTGACCATCAGCATGGGTTGAGTCATAATGAATTTCACCTTGGAAGTCAAAAGCCTGGGCAATATTCTCTGCAACTGTACGTATGGATACCTCATCTTTTTCATCAACTTTAAAAAAAATCAAATTTAAGTTGAATAGTATACATATATGTATGCATGCAGACAAACTGAATGTATTAATGATTTCTAATTAGGAATTTTACATTTTCTGTTGCTTTTAAAGAAAAGCTGCTAACAATCACGCCATTTATCTGACTGAATTAGAATATGTGTGTGTCCATGTTAGTTTCATTACAAAATAGACATCTCATATAACATAAATTTCTAATTTATTTTTACTACCTGTACTTCATTCTGAAGCATGTTATACAGGTCCAAGGCTAGTGACCAAAACTGACAAAAATTATAACTTAATACATTTTTGAAAATGCAGTGACACTTACGAACTGATGTTAAAAGGATGTTTTTGATGAAAATAATGGCAGGATAGACATACAAAATGAATGCTGAAAATAAAGTCAAGGCCCCTTTATGAAACTACAGTGAAACCTCTATCCATCGTTCCCGGAACTATCGTTTTCCCGGATGCATCGTCCGTTTTGTTCGGTCCCGAATACATCCCATATAAAATAATGTTACATTTTCCCGCTTCTATCGTTCCTCGAACTATCGTTTTATCGCATCGATCGTTCAAAAATCTTAGTCCCGGCCAACAATTTTCCCGCAATGATCGTTTCTGAGAAATTAAAATGCTGGGTTTTGAGATAAATTAATACCGAAAGACGCACAATGTTTTTGGAATAAACAGTAGCGGTAACCTGTTATGTCGCCCAACCAGCACATTCTTTTGGAATGAGGGTCAGCGGTGCAGGGGTGATATTGGAGTGAATGGCGGTGCTCATTGTCAGAAATTTTACGATTTTAATTAGGGTGCACTCATATTTCGTTCCAGCGATGCCAGATGGCATGTGCAGTGTGAATTTCTTCACAAATGCTTTTATTACAAGGACAAAGGAAAGGCGAAAGTGCTGCTGTGGATGTGGAAATAACGGAGCTGTGGCTCGAGAGACTGCCAACACTGCTGGAGGGATATGAGCCGCGGGACATTTATAATGCGGATGAGACCGGACTTTTCTACAACGCCCTCCCGGATAGGACTCTGGCATTGAAAGGTGAATCTTGCCACGGGGGAATACGTGCAAAACACCGAATTACTGTTCTTCTGTGTGTTAACAGTGACGGTAGTGACAAACGGGTTCCGATTGTAGTTGGAAAATCACGAAAACCGCGTTGTTTCAAAAACATGAAAAAACTTCCGGTGAAATATCACGCCAACAAAAAGGCTTGGATGACAACAGACATCTTTACGGCTTCCTTGACAATCAACTTCCAAGAAATAAAACAATGTTTAAAATGCATGTTCATGTATTTTTAGTGATAAAAACACTTATAATAGTGAAAAAATGTAAATTGTATTGTAATTTGCTTCACTTTCTTTTGCAAATAAAAAGATAAGTATGAAGAGCCTGTTTCTTTGTGAAGGTTCAAACTAAAACCTGGCAACTCACTCACCAGACAGAATGATTGGGTCAACACTGTTATACTCCCGCAGTACCCAGACAATTAATTTTGCAAGATCCAAGGAGTAGATAAACTGACGTAATGGGCAACCTGTACCAAGAACTGTGAATACAGTTTCCTCTGGACTCCCTGATAACATCCCTGGAAAAGTAACACAAATCACATGCTTAGTTATGACAGAAATCTACAATAAAAACCAGAGTACTTGTTATGAGTATGACCAAACACTGGGTGTGTGTCTCTCTCTCTCTCAGATGGGGAGGGGGGAACTGAGCATGCACAAAAAAAAATCTACATACCGCTACCTGCCTGTGTTAGCATGTCCCTTACTAAAGACACATGAAATTTTCCATGGGATACTTCTCTACCACATGAGGAGAAAAGAATGTAGCCAATGAGAATTATTACATCCATTAAGTGAAAAATTATTTTTTGTCGACTTTGACGCGCATTCCGTCTCGTTTGTTTACACAGCGCAAATATCATTCATGATCCTCCACTGTATCTAGCTTCTAAGCATTTCCATTCTCATAACAGAAGTTTCCTGCTGGTGGATGTCTCTTTTGTCCTTCCAAATAAATACTGAGAGATCATCCTTAATCCTTGGGTAGCTGTTATATCATGTGTTGCACACTGCTGGTCCTTTTCCTTACCTTCACGTCATTAAGTGTATGCAGTCAAATCACACAGTTTTATTATTTTGATACTGAAATATGTGTTTCTGGAATGTATTGCTTGAAGAACATCTCCCTTCAACTCTTGAAGTGTACAATAATTAACAATAACTTTATCTACTGCCAAATGTTCAGGTTAATTATAACACTTCATGTGAGTGTTGTTTATTATTTCAAATATGTCTCACATTTTCCACAGTTTGTCATTAGAATCAACATTCTTAAGAATTTCTTTCCTATTGTCCACAAAATGTATGAAGCAAATAATGCACAAGAATCTGTTTCCTTGTATCGAGTTTTTCTCTGCTATCAGCACTTTGATAACTAATGGAGAAGGAAAGAAAGAAAAAAGAAAGAAAGTGAGCTTCGCTTTGGTTCATGCCACTGGGGCCACCCGTAAAGTTGTGGACACCCATGGTATTACCTGCTTGAGAGGACAGTTCCCAGTAGGAAGCTGTTGGTTGTTGTTTTGGTGACGGCAGTGTGGCGATCTTCACATTTCTTACATTTCATCTTCCTCCTCCTGTTCTGTTTCTTCCCCTTCGTCCTCAGACGAGTCATCATGGTCACATTCCAGAATCAGTTTGATATCATTATCCTGAAGTCTCCTGGAAGTCATGGTTGAAAACTGATCTAAACTGCTTGTGCAATCAGCTGCAAAACCCTTCCAGACAAACTAACAAAGGGGACTTTATTATGCTCTCCTTTCTCATATTAGTCATGCTGTTGGTATGATTATTGTTTACTGTTTATGTCCAAATCATGTTAGAGTCAGTTGTTTACATTAACGCTTCCACTGTGATAATAGTCTGGATGGCTGGTATGTGGGCCATGTATGGCACCCATAAACATGAACATAAGATCTGGACATTGCCAAATTGTGCATTCTCCAGGAGGAACATATGTAACTGACCCCACAGTCAGCATTCCACCAGTGACCTGCATGTATGCAAAAGGTTATCATATTACCTCAAATCCTACAAGGTTATCAATATTAATAATATAAGGCTTCAAGAGCTCAGTTAATATAGTGACTGATTTTGAGCTGAACAAGTCAGAGGTCAACTCCCAGCAGGGTAGAATTTTTCTCTTCAGAACATGCAGATTGACTCCAGGTCTGACCCAGCCTACTGTCAAATGGATACCCAGTTTCTTACCTCATGGGCAAAGCAGCAGGTGCATGAAGCTAACCAACCACTCACCTCCATCTAGTTTCAAGGTCAAGAATGTGTGGAGCTGTAAGTCCACTCCCCTATATACCTGCAGGGTGCAGTGCTTAATTAAGCACTGGGCAAAACTTTGCCTTTACACATTAGGAAATAAGTAGAAATTGTAAAGTCTCTTTCATCTCTTCTTTTTCACTTTCTCCTGCAGATGCATCTCACTGATATTTAAAGAGTGAAAGGAGATTTAATAGTGATCCTTCTTTTGTGTACACACCATCACCTTCTCCACTGCCGTATTACCATCACCAGCTGACTTCCATATCCTGAAGACAGAAATAAAACTGTTCCTTCATGTAAATATTGTACAAAGTACAAATAACATTACCTCTCTCCATAGCATCATGAAGTTTTCTAATAAGTGCAGGGATGACATGACTCGACTGCAGACTGAAGTTATCATGTGGTCCAAATACATTGCATGGAATAACAGATGTAAACAAACAGCCATGTTGCTCATAGTAAGCTCGATTTGAGATATCAACAAGTCTCTTGGCATAACTGTAGCCAAAGTTGGATGGATGCGGAGGACCTAGGTGAATCTGCAAACACACAAAAGAATGTGTACCTTTTGTGGCATGTCTTCTGCCATCCACACCAACTTCACTTTTGGTGGAAAATATACAAAAGGCTTTTGTAAGGTAACATGTCATCTAAACATATGTGCAAATATCTAAAATCCAATCCAATAAAAATGGTATATAAAAGCTGTCTCACTACCTTACATAGAAGCGCTTGGAATGAGATGAGGTATAGCTGATTCCTAATCCTGGCACTAGATGGGGGGTGGGGGTAAGTGGTCAGTATAATGTCTTGGCCATACTAACCATGGGGGAGGACCCCCAGTACCCACTAAACACAAGGATAGACCCAGAGCTCATCTGGTTGCAGAGGCTAGAAGAACAATCCTTTGCTCCTGCCAGGGATCAAACCCTGGTAATCCAGATTGTATTCAGGCACTATACTGACTGGGCTACCCTGGCTGATAAAGATGGTTTAGAAAAATTTAAATATAAAAAAATTGCAACACTATAACAAAGCAAATATTGATCAGGATATAAGGCCTTCAATTAAATCTGACATATAATAATAAACATGAAGATGGCGAGAGTATGTTCCTCCAAAATGTTTGTATCTATCTGCAAGTCAGCATGATTTTTTTACCTGCAGAACAATGTTATCTTCATTGCCACAAGAACCTCAAATGTAACACAGTGCACATAATTTCACAAAAATTAGAGTCTAAATCATCAGTCACATTATAAAGAGGCATGACCTTAAGAAGTTTGGGAATGTATGCATAGCAGAACAATTCTGGTGCATTTACCAAACACAACATTTTATCTTAACCTCAGAAATCACCCAGGGGGCCATGAACTAAGTACTGCACTTTGTATGAAGTGCAAAAGAACCACAGGGCTGAGTCATTGAAGGGGATGCACAGCAGACTGAAGAGAAATGGAGTGCTAGGGTCCTTTTGTTCATTCATTCCCAGCATCTGTGTATCTGTACTTCTGCTGAAGTCAATGGGAAATACTTAACTGTGATACAGAAATATTCATAAATAAGTAGGAAGTAAACTGCAATTCTATCAACTACCTCAGTAACAAACTGGTGAAAAACAAATAGAACACATGAATCACTTACCATAGTTTCATCTATGGGATATGTGGTCTTGTCAGGGAAAATGCAGGTAGACAAACAAGAAACAACCTTCACAACTCCAGTCTCAAAGCTTGTTTGCAGCACGCTATCGTTGATGTGGATATTCTTACGCTGCAAAGACAAAAATATAACAAAAGTCTGACATAGAGGCTGTATTAAACCCTAACAAGAAGGTATGTTCAGAAATAAAGATGCAAAACACTTGGTACCAGTAGGTATTCATGTCTTTACATAAGACAGAAACAATATCATAATTTCAATACAGCTAATAAACCCTCTGAAGACGTGATAAAGCTTTTAGACTCACAGCAACAAGTCTAAATTGCACTCATGAAGAATATAAGATCAGAATAAATTTACTACTTCTTTTTGGTTCAGAATCATCTTCCCGTCTCCTATCTAAAATACACAACACTATAATTTTACCTGGTATTTTGTGTGTGAAAATTGTCCTCTTACAGTAAAGGAAGAACAAAGAGTGAGTAAGATTTGAGGTTTTCATAGCGGTGAGTATGAAGATTTCTGTCTTCTGGATTGTTGCGCTGTGTAGTCTGCCTCCGTCATCAGGCCCTGATGACGGAGGCAGTATGACATCTGAAACGTTGGTAAGCATCGACCAGACTACACAGCAATTAGTTCATGGAAGATAAATTGGCCTGTGTTTTTTACAAAACAATCAAACCTGAACATTATCTGAGACTGATTCTCTCAAGAAAAATTTATGGACATTTTATGCAAAATAACATACAGTGCACACTCTATTGTGGTTTATACAGCACTCCTACAACCTGTTAGGCTATTGTGAAATAAACGTGTTCATTTCAGAACATACCAGGAAGTCCAGGTTGTGTGACATGTTGTGGAACAACCCTCCAACCATAGCTGCCAGGTGGATCACATGTGTGGGATGATATTTATTAAACAAGGCTTTAGTCTGAGCACAATCACTGGAAGTAAAAGCATCATTATCATTAACATTGTCATCATCATCATCAGGAACATTTGTATTGTTTTCTTGTTGCCACAACTTTCTATTTCATCTGCAGCTTTCTTACTTATTGCCCAATATGAATTCATACTTTTTGTATGTGTTATTTAATTTCGCACCTATGGTCTTTTGTTCTATGAGGATACAGAATATTAGTACTGTAAAGAGAGATGCATTTAGGCCCTAAACCTTTTTATAACAAAATCATTTGTCAAATTATGAGTTAAATAGACTGTGAATTACACAACTGAATAAAAAGTATATGTGTATATAGATGAATACGAGCAGCTAATACACATATAAATAAATACCAACAGTTAAACCAAGAATGAAATACCATCCAGCACCGAGGACCTGTGCAGATTCTCTGTCCTGCATTTTTATAGCCAGAAATACCCCAATTTGGTTTGAAACAAATTAATTTATGTCAAACTTGCAACTACTGGGAAGAGACTGACTCACACTCGTCCCTGTATGACCCAAGGAAACAACAGAAGACCATTGCGCACTCTGACAGGAAAAAATGAAGCTTGGAAAAAAGTTGACAGAAAGGAAATTAGGTAAGGTACAGAGTGACAAGGAAGGAAATGTCACACACACACACACCCACTAAAGGGACAGCTCAGAGAAATGTCCCACATGTAGAGGCCCAAGATAATAAAACTATACATGCGGCATACCTCAAATCAGCATCTTTGGACCCAACAAAAATCCAGTCTTCATCATCTCTCTCTTCTTTTTGAATGACAGTCTGAATGGCATGTCCCACAAGTCCAGACCCACCTGTGACTAAGACTACTTTCTTATCACCAGACATATTGAAATGGTATGCTGATCAGTAACTGCAAAATTAATTTTAAATTAATCACTTAACTTCTTTGTATTATTTCAGTAACTACACATGTACAAGACTCTGGCAATAGAACTTAAAGCTAGCAACCACTTAACAAAATCCAATCGACAACAGTCTCACCAAATACTAACCTCAATATACACCAATAAGGAGTATACTATACAGGTATCAAGGTATTCAGTAATCTTCAACCTACAATTAAAAGTTTAAATCATAATATACAAGTATTCAAGCCTGCATTACAGGATTACCACTTAATTCACTTCTTCTACTGTGTGGATAATTCTTATATCAATATGTGAAATAAGCTTTTGTACTTGCATTGAAAATTCTGAAGTTTATGTATATCAAGTCTCCAAGACAAAATCCGAACTCTTATATTTTATTTTATGTAGAAAACATGTTTTATACTATTAAATGTGTTTTCGTTGGGAATAATCGGAGACCTATATGTGTTAACCTTGAACAAAAGAAAGCAGACTGTGCAATCCGAAACATAATCTTACGTTTCGTAATTTCACACAGATGGTCAGAAAGATAGGTTACGTTGTCAACGTAATAGTAACAGGTCTCCGATTATTCCCTATAAAAAACCAAATAATCTTACCTAAAGAGTTCTCACGACGGTGAAGGCGTCGATAACTGTTTTTTTTATCGTGTTCAATGTATAATTAAATGAAATATAATCAGCTTTACGTGTTTTACTTTTATCCACAGACGATACCAACATTGATTTCTGTTCTGATCCAATCAGAGAGAAGTTGCGTATTTGATGTTAGTGTTAGCTGTGGATAATACCGTAATGCTAGCCACAGATAGACTTTCGATGTAGATATCGCGAATGTTTGTTGACGCGTGTCCTATCTCAGCAGCAATGAACACGTGCGAGGAACAGCTGAGCCACAGCCAATAGTAAGTAGGAGAGTCGTTCCTTCTGGAAGTTGGAGGGAAGAACTTGAATGGTGTTCAAATATGGCTAGCGTTGGATGCAATTTTCTTTGTAGGGGATGTGATGAAAAAATTTGTGATGAAAAGTTTTCATACAAAGTAAAAAAAGAAAAGGCCTATGTATCAGGTAATTATGTTTGCTGTCTGTTTATATAATATAGTTAGTGAAGCAAGACATTCCACAAACTGCACATTCAACACCCAGCAACCTACTGCAATACAGGACTATAAGTTAGTATTGTATCAGGAAGATTTATTTTAATCTTTTGATATTAAGACATCAAGTTACTTAATTGTATCTACCAAAGCAATAACATTCCTCACATAACAAGGTGCAGACTGTATACATTCAGTATTTTGTTTTAAATTGCCTTTTAACACATCATATTCTTCAACATGACTGTGGTTTGCACTGAAAGTTAGGGCCGAATGATGGACTAAGAACCCCGAAATGCCATGTAGTGCTGAACAACATGAAATAATTTGAGTGCATGAATTTCATCATGTATGTGTGAAGCTGGATATCCTATAGTTTAATTATATCTGTAACATGACACTCAGAATGTTAATACAAAGATTTTCAACAGCTAGCCCAATCCCAGTTAGTGGAACCCAGAAACTACATACCTCTCTGCCAGTCAGGAATAGTGTTTTACTAGCAAAAACATTTTCTTCCTTGTCAGAGTTGACAGAATACAGTGTGATGTCCAACTTGAGAGTATGAAATTGAAAGATATTACTGGATTTGTTAATGTGTGTGTGATTCCCCATAGCGGGTGTGTAGTCTGTAAATAACAAAACAAGTTAAGTGAAAATTATATTTTCATCCCCATGATGCTTCACCATCTTTCATTTATCCTTTATGTCCAAACATCCTAAATATTCCTCACACATTTCTAACAAGTGGATCCAAGAATTGCAACAGGCATACATATACATCTACTGATGTTGAGACTAAGTCAGTGTCTTGTAATGACAAACTGACCAGCTTAAGAGTTAATCAGTTGTGTTTCATTCAACAGCTAAAGTATGAACTACTTAGTTGCCTTGGATTATGAGTCAGAAGATGGCTGTCTAGTCTGGTAGAAGTTTACCGTCATTTTAGAGGTCCTTGGTGCCTCCATCCTCCTCCTTTTAATATTATATTTTGCTTGCAAAGAAACTGTTTATGTACTATAATAATAATTATTTATAAATACTGATCACAAGGCACTCCAGATTGAAATTAAAAAAATATTTTTTAAATTAAAGGTCTACATTTTTAGCAGTTCAAGGATGAAGGTAATGTTCATTGAACTTTCAACACATTTTTGATTTAGCTCTAGGCTTCCATTGTTTATTTTCATGGCATTCTATAGAGTATCTTCCTATGAGCTCGGGCTAAACCTTCTTCCTGAGGCTTATTATTGCTGCTGTTGCTACAGACCCACCAGACAGGAACATAGGAACCTAAAACCTATGATACGGGCATTTTTTTACTTTCTGGTGATTCAGATATTGGTTGTTAGGTTATGGGATAGACTAAGAACTGTGTGTGAGTTGTCTGTCTGATTTCTTAATTTGACAGTTCATGAAGGTTATTAATTATTCCTAAGTTTTGAGTGTTTTATTTGTGTTAGTTCTTCACTAACATGAGCAACTTTCTTTTGAAGGTGTTTTAGATTGTGTGAACAAAAAAACAGGGCATGGAAAGAATCTTATTCTTGTATGTTCATGTGGAAAAAATATTGGAGAATTTATTACTTACAAGAAAGAAAGGAAGTATTGTTTAGATTTGAAGAAAGTCACAAGGTAAAGTATTTTTGTAATTAGGACTATAACCTGAAGGTTTACTTACTCCTTCCTGAGAGCCAACATTTTATGGAACCCAAAGGCCGAAGGTTCACTTCTAATAAACCGAAGGTCACCATTATATTTTATCCTGAACAAGCTGAATCCAGTTTACCATGTCCTGCTTCCATAATTTTAAATTTTCTTTTGTTTCTTAATTTGAACTGTGTGTCAGACCTTTCATTAGTTTTATTTAGCAGTTCTAAGAATATTGGGAGAAGAAGAATGTTATCCATTTCCTCTTTTAGGTGCACTGTAAGAAACAGTGAAGACAGTCATACAAAGAGTCTTCGCCATCAAGGGAAAGCAGTCCCATTGCCTACAGATGTGTTTGCTCCTACAGTGAGCAAGAACATACGCGTTGCCAGTAACGAACCTGCCAAGAATTCGACAGTGTATGGAGAAGAGGCTGAAAAAGAAAATGAAATTAAGCAGCTGAAGGAAACAATAACTGCTTTGAAAGAAAGGATGAAGTCTATGGAAAGAGAGAATGTAAACAAATTTAAAGATGTTTGTGGAATGTTGCTTTCACAGAAACTGGAAATTCAGCGACTTCAAGAAATTATTTGGGTTCTGCATCCAAACATCAACTTGGAGCAAGCATTCTCTGTTGATGATAAAGTATTATACTTCATTCCTGATTCAGTTACATCTGCTGATAATCTGAATGTTGAAGATTAACTTTCATGTCAGAGGTTGAGTTTGTTTCTGCTTATTTTTATTATTCCATAAATGCTCTATAATTGTACTTAACTTGGTATATCCATCACATGTGGTCAGACCCCTTCTTCCACTCATCTTCATTTCTGTTCACTTTTTTGGCATTCTATGCTCATGCATTCTTTTAACATGTCTAAACCATCTTAATATATTTCTATTTGGTTCTGTATTTCATCATGAGCTCTCCCTTAATGTATGTGTTTTTGATTCCATCTCCTGGTTTTCCCCACTATTTCTCTTGGTAATTTAATCTCAACTGCTTGTAGTTTACTTTCCTCTCTTAGTACATATCCATGTCTCTGCTCCATAAACAGCACCTTCTTAAAATGTGCATTATACAATGTAATCTTGCATTTCTGTCTGAATCGTTATTCCACAACAAACTCTTGGCTAAATGATAAAATCTTGAAACCTTTCCCATTTGTTCATTTTGGATCTTGCCACTATCCTCCACCACAGTTCCAAAGTTGACAAATTTGTTCAACCAAAATATACAAAAATATGGCAAGACCTAATTATCAAAAAAATATTGTATTAGGTTAAGTTATTGTTTTGGTTCAATATATCAAACATCTTTTGCATTTTGTGAATTATTTGTGATGTGCCAGAACATGTAACCAGTGATCTGTTAAGCTGTAAGAAGAATAAAGTAATAATTTTAAATTTTTAATCCCCAGTAGTGATCAATATAATACAAACAGGAGTTGGTATGTTATATTTTATGAGGCATAAAGTTATAAAATAAACATGTAAATGGAAACAGTGAAGTACAGAACTGTCATGAGAAAGTGTTGCACCTTTTCATGCAGCAGAACCTACAGAATTTCTTAAAAGGATATTAGTGTTACTCTATTTTTAGATGTACCCAAGTAAAGCTGAAACTGGGTATACTTCATGTGTTCTGAGAAGATCACTATTTTGATTTTCTTGGGCTTGACATGTGTTGCATGTTTCTGTTATATGAAGCATTGCAAAATTACTAATTTTAATATCAAAGCAAATGTGTTCATAGTACATTTTGTGTTCAACAGAGTATAACTTTACACCATGAGTGTGGTACAAAATGAGGTGGAAGTTCAATAAATAGAAACAAAGGGTATATATTTTGAATTTAAAATGAATACAATAATTTGTGGTAATGGCCAGGGAGCACAAAGCTTTTACCAACCCCAATCCCCTAAAACTGATGCAGCGCCCACTCTCTGAAGAAACAAACACTCGAAAATTAGGCAAGATAATTACCTGGTTGAAAAAGCCTATGACTCTGTGAAGAGAAAAGTGCTATATAATATTCTTATTGAAGTACATGTTAGTATCGTGTCAGCAGACAGGCGGGCAGAATTATCTTAGGGTGGCTAATAAATCAATTGAAAGTGTTACAAAGTTCAAATATTTTGGAACAACAATAACAAATGAAAATGATACTCATGAGGAAGTTAGGAGGAGACTAAATTCTAGAAATGCTTGCTACTTCTCAATTCAAAATATTTTGTCTTCCCATCTGATTTCTAAGAACCTGAAAATTAAAGTATACAAAACAATAATTTTGCCTGTTGTTTTGTATGGGTGTGAAACATGGTCTCTTACACAGAGGGAGGAACACAGATTGCAGGTGTTTGAGAATAGGGTGTTGAGGAGGATATTTGGGCCTAGGAGAGAATATGATGGGGTGTGGAGAAAACTGCATAACCATGAGTCCCTCGTCTGAGACTCACAACCCAGGTGTAATAATCATCAAAACACTCACAAACCAAATTAAAATAATAATACATTTGTTTGAAATTCCTGGATACAAAAAAATTACATTAACTAAGTTCCTTCTGGTTGGAGGAGGAAAAGAACTAGGCCTAACTTACCTACAGTAAAAAGTAAAACCATGTACACACTTAGGGGAGAGGCCTTAGGAAGTATAGCTCCTATTCATTCTTAACCTTGGCTCTAGATAGGGGTGAGTGGTCAGTGTCATGCCCCGTCCACACTTCAGCCCCGGGGAAATGAACCCGGTACCTATCAGACAGGAGGCTGGGTGGGACCCAGAGCCGGTATGAACGCAGAGACTAAAAGAAAAATCCTCTGCCCATCTGGAATCGAACATCAGTCATCCAGTCACTGCTGACTGAGCTGCCCCAGCTCCCTACTTAACTATACCAATACAAATAAACTGGGTATCATGATATGGAATATGCAATAATAATAGTACCTATAGTTCTGTTAAATAATGTACACAATATTACCAAAGCAGACTTAAATAATATCTGAAGAATGGCCATATGCACCTTAAATATAACAGCTACAAGTGGTCACACAAGAAACTTGTGTAACAACCCTGGTAGTTACGTGCATACCAGCAGTACTCAAAGAACAAGTAACTACAAAACAGAAACCCACATTGCTACTTACCAATGCAGCCAATCACTCCTGCAATTCCATGAAACAAAACTTCCTTATTTCTGAGTGTATCAATAAATGTTCATCACTTTAGTAATATTTATATCAAAATTACAGAATACCGTTTTTTTTTTTGTAGTCATCAATCCTAGGATTGGTTTGCAGCCCCATTACAGGGCTCTTACTTGCGAAGATACCACAGAAGTTTCACCTTGCCTTCCGTGGCCAGTCTTACCCACCAGACTGGAAGAGGGGACATGGCCAAACATCCATGCCTAGAGTAGGACTCGAACCCACAGTCCCAGCAGCCAGGCGCACGAGGTCCATGCCTCAGACTGCGTGGCCACTGCGGCCGGCACAGAATACCATAACATACTATATTTCTGATATGTTCTATGTAATAGGACTCTTGCACATATTTAATAACATCATAATTTGGTGGGGGGGGGGGATAAAGACAATGTCAAAAAATCACCAATTCTTGAAAAATTAAACTATTTGTGAGACACTACTTTCTTGTTGCTGCATGAATGTTATTCCTTTATCCTCACAGTTGGTACACGGGTCAAGTTTTTGAATCATGGTTGTTTGCTTTAGCAACATTGTAATTTACACAAAAATTTGGATCAGTTTTGTACATGTCAGAATGAAGGGCTTTAATAATATCATGCAGTCAGGAAAGTATCTGCCTGTGCATTTTAACTGGAAGTCTCCACAGCTCAAAATTTATCTTTGTGCCAGCATTAAAGGCATAAAATCTTAGCTGCCCATATGTTAAAGGTTAAATAAGGAGAACATTATGAGATTATGTATGGTTACTGGTCATAAAAATAAACCAGTTCATTATCAAGTGGACAAATATTGGTTTACAATTTGTCAGGGTCAAATTTAAGGGCAAGTGACCAGGTCAGTCATCCTGGAACCTCCATAAAACAGGGGCCTCTATAAAAATCAAAGCTTTAATATTTTTTTAATTTATTTATTTATTTTAAAAAAGTGTCCAGGTCATCATGAACAAGAGACCATGGTTAGAATACATATTCCTGATATGCCATTTAATTATTTGAATTCAAAGGATATCCATGAAAGTTATGAGATGTTAAGAATTAATGCTCCTACATTTTCTAGAATGGTTGCAGTTACACTGCAAAAATCAGTGCATCGTTATTGAGAATAAATATTCGTTCACTGACAAATCAATGAGTGATGTGTAAAGTATTCTGGTTATTTTACCAACAATGGTGTAAAAATTATGACTAAACAATTGAAACACAAAAGAGCGAGAGTCAGAAATCTGAGTGCAAGTATTGTTAATGACTGAGTGAGAAGATAAATTAATACATTATATCTGTACAGCACAGAAGCATATAATTACACTGAGGTAAAAATGCTTACATTTTTTATTTCAGCATATTAAGTGAAGGTGAGTGGCCAGTTACATGCCCAGCCATGTCCACTCCCAGCGTCTAATGTGTACAAGGTTAGGTAAGTCATGGTTGCATTTTAAATATAAAAATAAACATTCCCAATATTTTTTCCAGTAATTGAACTCCAGCCATCCACTGTGCGGACAGTCACTTTAGTGACTAACTTTTAACTAACTCCAAATATACCATCTTCTTTTAACAGCTGCCCCAAAAGTTCTCCACTCTTAAGGAGACTAAATGTTGTAAGATTTGAGGTTTTCACAGCGGTGAGTATGAAGATTTCTGTCTTCTGGGTTGTTGCGCTGTGTAGTCTGTCATCAGAGCGATGAATATCGTCCTGATAACGGAGGCAGTATGACCTCTGAAACGTTGATTAACATCGACCAGACTACACAGTGCAACAACCCAGAAGACAGAAATCTTCAGACTAAATGTTCATTGCTGTTATCACACATACCCATAATGGTTTGAATGGTTACATACTTCCTAATTGAACTGAATTCCTAAATTCTTATACTTATTGACCAGTGAAATTAATGCATCAAAAGGACATGTGTAAGTTTACATTATGCTTTTATATAATTATGGCATTTTTGAAACTAGGGCAGCATGTGGATTAGACACTTATTCCCACATCATCTATCAATTGGAGCAGGAGTAGTCGCATCTTTTAAAGCCTGAGTTCATATCTATTTCCTGCCATATCCTTGAGAGAAGCCTGGCTTACTCTCAGTGTCAACATTTACCAGATCCTGTTGTTGTTGCTGCTTAAGGATTTCATTTAGTTCATCCCTAACTAGCTCATCCACTGGGCGGTCCAGAATGCTCTCAATCCAGGCAACATCTATGCCACCAAGCACAGTTGGACTGTTAGGGACATTGCAGCCAATATCCCAACTGTACAAACCACTCAGTACATGATGTCCGTCTCCCCGATCACAGGCGATTGGTCCACCGACATCAACCTGATCAAGAAAAGATCTTTGATATAAAAGTAAATATTCAATGATGAATCTCACATACATTCAGATGAGATAATGAATTACATACAGGCAGATGGATTGACACATTTACTAGTGGGACAGATTAGTTTTAAGTCACTTATTAGATAGCTGTGTATTAAAGAAATATGTTATGGAACCTGATCATCACTGTCATCAGAAAAACCTATCACTGCATGCTAACTGAGCCAGTTCCATTCTCAACAATTACTTCCCTTATATCCACTTCAGAATGACCCCCTTAACATTGTTTTTGTGTCCCACCATGTGTGCTAAATTAGTAAGTTTTGGAATATGAAGTTCTCTGACAGTGGTATGTTATAAAATGTAAAAGTTTTATTTTGTCCATTGTCTAAATTATAAAATTATGATCTTCTGAAAGCTCGATTTTGTTTTCACATCAGGTAAAAGGGATTTTTCAGGTAGTTGCTTTTCAAAAGTTTCTCTCTAAAAATTCTGCATGCATATTTTTCGTTGGAGCTATATGTGCAGTCAATTATGACCTTGATTTAAAACCACCCTACCATAAAGGACACTAAGGCAAGGATATGAATCATAAAGTTTAATATTAGGTACATCAACAAAATGTGCTTCACCTTGCACAAATCTTGTGAAGGTGCAGTTGGTACAGCACACTGAAAGCTTTGATTCAGAATGAAGTATTGCCCCAGGTGAGTCTTTCGCAGAGTGTCCTCACAGGCTGAGTGAGGGATCAGCCTGACAGGTACTTGGTGGAGAATGCTTCCAGGAATGTTTGCTGTAATTACATAATATTTTGTTAGTATAGGAGCAATATAATGTTTCTCAGCCGAAAATACAAACTTATACTACTGTTGCCACTTTGTCTACACAGCATCCCAGGCCCATACCCAGGTCAGTTCAGTGGAATACGTGTTTCATAAAGTGACAATGAGGCAGGGTTTTCTTTGTATTCTTCAGTCTTCCTTTGTCAGTATCATTCCACTGCTGCTCCATATTCATTTATGTATCATCTGGACTATGGACACTGACCCCACTAGCAATCGAAGTTCTATTGAGACAGCCTCTCTCCATCAAAACATTAACAGTACTGGCATGGATTTTAATTTTGCATCACCAATAATAACAACGTGATAACTTTGAAAATTATATGATGGAAGTGATAAAAGTGTAATTTAATTAAAGGTCCTGACATTTTTTTTGGCAACAAAGCTTCAATAATGTGGACAATTTATTGGGGTTATCTTGGTGTAAAATGAGGTTATATTACTATAAACTGTAAAATACATTTTTTAGAAGAAATCTGTATTAATAGCAGCATCCAAATAATCATTGCAGCTAGTCACATGAAAGTTTCTATAAATCACGTGAATACGCTTTTTGAATGTAATTTTACACATTAAAAATTACAATAAACATGGTGACAGCATGAATCTTTGAGGTTATGTTTATGTCCATGACTTTCAGGCAATGATATATGAAATTAATGTTCACAGATAGAATTTGCAGGTCAACCCATAAGTGGCAATATGATCTCAGATATCTGACAGACAGACAAATGAACAAAAAACATGGAAGGTGTTCTTTGCTTAATATACAAAAGAACATCAAAATGGCAAGGTAATTTTCCTCCTGTGCCTAAGAATTGCATCCTAAAGGTGAACAGGGGTATATACAGAGCCACAACCATCCTGAATACAGTGATGATGAGACATAGTTGCAAGCTTCCAGAATTCATATCCTGGTCATTCAGTCTGTAGCCAGTCACTTTACTGACCAAGTTATCATGGTTCACACATTGAATAAAAGTGATTTTGGTCTAGAAGTAATGCATCCAAACTGACCTATAAAGCTAAAAAATCCTTTTAATTTTCAAGTCAGATGCATGACTGCTCAGCTAAATCTGCCTCGTATTTTTTCATGCCTAGGTCTCACCGCACACCTTGCAAAGCCTTCTTTCCCCAGCCAGTAGCAGTACATGCGCCTTGGAACTGAGACACATCCTGGCCTCTAGGTGGCAGGCAGATCTTGTCAATATGTTCATCAAATCTTAGCTGTTTGTCCAGAATGAGCACAGCCAAGTCATTAAACAGGGAGCTTGCATCAAAATCTGGATGTCGGGCAATGGCAGCCACTTGAATCACATGGACAGGCTTCGGTTGATCACTTGAAAGTATCCTCCATCTCCCAACTTCGAGAAGTATGTCACTTGATTCCACACTGTAAAACAGAAGGACAATGGTCACATTGGAAAACAACATATCTGGTTATTACACAGTGTTCTTAAATTGTGAATGTTATTCATTCCATGGCATACTCACTTGTGGAGACAATGTGCAGCTGTGATGGCAGCGTTGTCTGAGATAACTGCAGCACTGCACAGTGCACTTTGATTTGAATTTAACAACACCAGTGCTTGCCATGGGAACTCACCAAATCCTGCATCTGCTTCACTCAAGCCTTGCCTTGATACCTAAAGCATCACAGATCCACATCAAACACAAGGGTTCTGAAATCCTAATAATTTTACACCCTTTTCCCACCATGTTCAGGTTTATGGAATTTAGAAGCTGTCTCAGAAATTGTATGACTTCCCCCCATAAATATAGGAATAGAATATGGATGTATGAAAATTATCATAAAGAAAACACTTAATTACATGTACAGTATTAACACTTTCAGGCCATCTGCCAAGAAATCTCATACTGGGACAATAAATGACTTGAGTTTGACAAACTTAAAATAGAAAATTTGTTATTAGACCTGGAGATCTATGTTGTGGTCACTAAACACTTCAAAGTTGGTCCTTGGTCAAACTCAGGAGAGAATCAAGAAAGTAATTTCTCCATCCAATGCCAGAGAGTTCAACAATTTAAGAATTAAAATTCAGGGTTATTACACGAGAACTTTCAAAATTTTATTGTGAGCAAACTAAATGAGATACAGAAACCAACATCACAGTTTTGGAAGGAGAAACTCAAAATTACTTTTTTTGTCCTATGAACATATAAAGTTCTTGAAGTCACCACAAGAAGAACTTCAGATATGATAGGTCAAATTAGCAAGTCAAGTTGTGAAGCCATGATAGTTATGTCTGCCATATCTGTGCAATGCAATGGCTGAGAAAAAACTTCTTCAGTTACTCTTTCCAAAAATGTAATATTGGTTTTTGTATATCATATAGTTAATTCATAATAAACTTTTGTAAATGTTAATTTTGTAATAATCCTGGAAATACTGATATGAAATTGAACCTGAGGAATGTCATGTGCTTAAATAAATATATCTCATACTGAAGTCCATCTGACTTATAGATAATTATTTTCTAGTACAATTTTAAAATTCAAATAACATAGTATGCATCTGATGTGGCATCTCATATGTAAAGACAAATTAATCTCAGACTGTTAAGGTTGTTAATGTGCTTACCTGTCTCCTGATCCCGCACTCTCCGACTGATTGGGGATATCCTGTCGATGGTCTTGAGGGTTGGCCTGATTGAGGCTGAGGCACAGGGAAATGTGACTGAAAGAATGGCTTAGGAGATCCAGGATGGTGGAGTTGTGATTGAGGCAGTGTTGGATGTGGTTGAGAGAATGACAACTCTGTCTGAGATTGTACTGATTTAACAGGTTTTGTGTATGTAGGAGGTTGTGCACTAGGTACTAGCTCTGATACCTGTACAGTTGGTTGAGGGGATAATTCATTACTTGGGTTTGATTGTGGATAAGGTTGAGGGGATGATGGGTTTAGCTGCGGGAATGGTCGAGGAGAAGATGGAACTGGTTGTGGGTATGGTTGAGGAGATGAAGGAAAGTGCTGTGCAACTGGCTGAGGAGACGATGGGGTTAGCTGTGGGAATGGTTGAGGAGAAGAAGGAACTGGTTGTGGGTATGGTTGAGGAGATGAAGGAAAGTGCTGTGCAACTGGCTGAGGAGATGATGGGGTTAGGTGTGGGAATGGTCGAGGAGAAGATGGAACTGGTTGTGGGTATGGTTGAGGAGATGAAGGAAAGTGCTGTGCAACTGGCTGAGGAGACGATGGGGTTAGCTGTGGGAATGGTTGAGGAGAAGAAGGAACTGGTTGTGGGTATGGTTGAGGAGATGAAGGAAAGTGCTGTGCAACTGGCTGAGGAGACGATGGGGTTAGCTGTGGGAATGGTTGAGGAGAAGAAGGAACTGGTTGTGGGTATGGTTGAGGAGATGAAGGAAAGTGCTGTGCAACTGGCTGAGGAGACGATGGGGTTAGCTGTGGGAATGGTCGAGGAGAAGATGGAACTGGTTGTGGGTATGGTTGAGGAGATGAAGGAAAGTGTTGTGCAACTGGCTGGGGAGACGATGGAGACGGCTGTGGGAACGGTTGAGCTGGAACTGGTTGTGGGATTGGTTGAATAACTGGTTTTGGCTGAGAATAACCATTAGTAGGTTTCTTGACAGGTTTCTGTGAGATTGGAGTGGTTCCAGGAATGAATGTTCCACCTGGATGCTGATCAGGGAATCCAGGCTGATCATGTGAACAGCAGATGCCTGATGCCCCACTGAAAAGTATTCTGCAGCTCTGAAATTCAATGTATTGCTGTCTTATTATTTAAACAGTAAAGAAAATATGTTACAATGGCAAGTTATATTTTAATATCGGGTAAATATACTGGGTGAGCACAAAATAACACTACACTTTCAAAATGACATAGGAAAAATTTGGTGAACATCACATCTATACCAGCTGATAGTAAAGCTCTCAGAATTTTGTTCACACCTCACTAAGACTCGATACATGCTCTGCAAGTCACACAGCATACTCCTCCTTTTTCATAACTAGTAGCACCTAGCAGAGGTGTGCAACAACAATTGCTCAGGTCATTTGAAATAAAACTTAGTTTTCATATCAACTGGTATGGGTGTAAAGTTCTAAGTAGACCCCATTTATTTTCTGTATCATTTTGAAAGTATAAAATTCTTTCATGTTCATCCTGTATAGTATGTAACAGTGGATTCTTCAGAGTGAGTTTGTTATACTAGGATTGGATTCATCCAGGAAACTCTTGCTATGAATAAACTACACATTTTCATGTTTAGTATGTTTTGAAGGAAAAGAGGTACAAGAAGTTGTGTGTACAGAACTAATTCTTTGGCTGTAATAGACAAGTGAATATGATCAGTATTTTTTTAAGTTACCATTTTTGTTATGTGTTGCACATATAAGGTGCATAAAACAAACACATGTTGTAAAGGCATATTTCATCTCCAAATCATTGAATTTTGAACAAATTTGGTATTGGAGGAGGTTGTGGGTATAGAATTTAATTTTGGAACATACTGACCCAAAATAATAATTATTTCACATGAAGCTTAAATAGAACTTAACCAATTTACTTATAAATGATTCAGTGAATAAAATATTTATGTATGACCTTAAAATATACAACCTGTACTGAAATCTTTTCTTCCTATATATATTTAACAAAAGAGAAAATAAAAATAACTGATGTCTCTGATGCAGTGTAATACCGTTAATTTTGTCTGCAAACAATAAATAAGCATCAAGTCCTATGACAGCAACAAAACACATGGAAAATGTGTGTGCACCAAATGGAGTACAGCTAAAATTTTTGCTGGTGTCAGATTGATGGAGTGACTCAGTAACGTGCATTCTGTCTTGCACCCATCTCTGGCTCACCTTTGCTGGCTGAATCTTGTATTGGCTACCACACTGGTATGGCTCCAGGCAAGAGGATCCTACACCACACTCTTCAGGCTCATTGCCATCATTATTCTTCATCATGCCACCTGGCCAGGGATCCTTGTAGTTGGGATCTCGACAACATTTACCAATGGCACCAGTGTCAGGATCAGCACATTCCTGCAGATGTTACAAGTCTTATTGGAACAAGAGAGTAAATCATGCAGTGCAAAAAGTATATGATTGCCAAGCTAAGTCATTTTGAAGATATCCGTCTTCTGGGTTATTGCGCTGTGTAGTCATTTTATTGTTGTTAAATTACAGGAAAGTGTGAAAGACTAAATGAGTTAAGTAACTGACTGCCTATACTACCTTTGAGCTAATGGACCAAAGATTTGGCACTGACAATACCAAAAACCACCACTGGACCTTACATTTGGCCATTTCAATTCAGTTCACATCCACAAAACCTATTACGTAAAAACTCAATTCAAAAATAATAATAATATTCTCTCATCTCATTTTTAGTTTTCTATGTAGCACTTTTACAACAGAAATTTTTCCACCAAACCTTTGTATACATTTCTTGTGTCTTCCCCTCTAAGATACTTATCAAGCTCAACGCCTTGTCCATTACTGGACCACAACAACAATACTAGGCAAGCTATAATTTTAGGGCAGTATATGACAATATATGTTCATGGAGACCCCACTGTTGAATGTTCAACATACACAGCATGACAATCACTCACCGACAGAGGCACTCTGTTCTCATACTGGTCTCTGGTAAGTATGACAGGTTGATCTGCCATGACCCCTTCTGCAGTACAGTATGATTCTGGAACACACTTTAATGCAGCTGCACAGCCAGGATGTGGAGTAGTGTTGAGAGGTCCTGTGTATGGACTCTGATTGGTTGCGGGAGTCACGGGATGCCTATCAGTGTCATAAATTGATCCTCCGATTGGCACTCCATTAGAGCCAGGAATTGGTTGTCCAAAGTTGTTGCCTGGAGCATATGTTGCTGATGGGATGCTGGCACTGGGATGCTGGACTCCACTGGCTGGGAAGGATGGTCTTGGAAAATACGGAACATAAGAAAGTCCATCTCCTGGTTTGATGTTTCCAGCAGAGGGAGGCTGGTTTGAACTTGGAGTGATATGGATTAATCCTGACTGAGATGGGGAGGGGGTGACATGTACTATGCCTGGTTGAGAAGGGGAAAGAGAAGCAGGCAGATTTCCACCACAGTTACCACCTGAACCATAACTACCACAAACAGAGGGTTCATTAGGTCCAGCAGGGAGGCGACAGCATACCTGTGAGGTAGCATCACAGTATTGTACCTGCAAGACACAATTTCAACCCATGTAATATCCAGCAAGACCATGAAATACATTAATTTTAGCAGATGAATGTTCATCACACAAGCCAAACACTGGACCATATCATCAGCTAATTCAATCCAACTTATATGATCATAACAAAATAGTTTTTCATGGCCAAATAATACTGTAGTTACTCATGTACATGTATGCACCCTTAAAGTTTCATTGGAAAATTAAAAGAAAACTACTCGTGCTTAACATGCTTTGAAATAAGAAATCCACAGTAAAGAATTAAAAAAAAATTAAGTAGTATGAGATGTCTGAATATTAGGCAGCCAGGTTAGCATCACTGTTGCAGGTGGTATTATTCATCTCTATGCAGCAACATAAAAAAGTACAGTATGTTGATGCCCCATACAGGCATTTATGGTACGGTGCTCATGCATTCGAGTAATTATAATAATTAATTACAAAGTATAAGTTCTTCCTTCTGCAGATGACAGTTATTTAGTTGATCAATATATTCTTTGTTGTGGAAATCAAAATTTCATAACTGTCTTTTGTACCCTGAGAATTTTACCTATGGCATTCTGATATCATATCCTCCTGCATTTAATCATCCTAACAATATTAGATGTGATTTCCTCATGGGGCCATGTAGTTTTTATATTATTCTGTTACTTTCCTTTCATTTTCACTTCTGTAATTTGTTCTCAATTTCAAAATAACAACAATTTGAATATGAATGTTCCATATTTGTCCAGTGCAGAAGCTAACATTTTTGGAGTTATTATCACTGACTAATCTCATCATGTGTCAAAGACCCTTCTCCTGACAGCGTGAAAACAAGGCCTAAAGCAACATTCCATATTAGGATGTGGTGGAAAAGACGGAAGAAATGAAAAGAGTAGGAGTGCAACTGGTCCTGATTCAAGGCCAGCAAGTTTATGTGTGCAGGATGTAGCATCATAGTCTGTCCTGTCTGCTTTATATCATTATAAAGCAGCAAAGTTTGTATCCTACATGTTCATGCTATTTATGGGCAAATTTCATGCAGCTTTTAGCCTCCCAGATCTGTATTTCCCCAAAGGTTGTCCTTGAGGAACCTTTAACCAATTTCAAACATAGTCATTCTTAATCTAACGCTAGAACCTCAAAATATGTCATGACTGTGCCCTTCCACATCCTTATCTACTCACCATTCATGGCCATATTTCCATATAATTCAGTGTTATATGCAACCTATGTAATGTAGTTGAAAGAGTAATGATAAATAACTGAAGAGCCTATGAAACAAGAACACAATGTCCATTGCAAAGCTGAAAGTACTGAATAAAATGATTTGATAAATGTGTGTGATAAGGAGGAGTGTGGCCTGCAGGGGCTGAGGAAAGCCCTTAATGATAGCTGGTGCCATAAATCTGGCCAAATATATAACTTTTTTTTTTCTGTTACCTAACAGTGAGAGACTCATATACAAAAGTCACTGCAGATTTCTTAGACAAGAAATAAAAATGAAATTTTTCTTAAACTTCTGAAAGGGAACTAACCACTTGTGAAGGTGATGAGCCTTCCAAGTCTCAAAAAGGGAGATATAGTAACCAGCTGCCCAAAGAAGACTCAACATGTTAAGCTAGTTGTTATACCTTGAAAAATCCACAAGTACTGTTACTGAAACATGCCACCATTAAAATAACTGGTTTTTCCACTGAAAGATTAACAGCACTGAATCATTGTGGTCACAAAGCATGTCCAGGGCTTTATAAGTATGTGGTGGAGGGGAAGGAGGCAGACAGAGAAGAGGGATAAACAGAGAATGATATCATCACTAACATGAGTCCAGTCAGGTTCACAGTGGGTAAGTTATAGCGAAAGTGAAAGTATACTCTGCTTACAAATAAACTGTGTACTAGCCACTCTGAGCTATAAGGCTGTCAGAAATGACAAAAAGTAAAACTTCATTATTTCATGGTTCATTTAATGAAGGTGTGAACGAAAGAGTGACAATAAATTGGAAAGGACTAGAAGGAAAATGGTTATGGCCTATTTTAAGGTAGTATCCCAGAATATGTATGCAGGGACCATACAAAACTGAGATACCATCAAGACAGCTATTCCCTAACTAGGCTTGAAATAGGATATTCCCAAATGTGAATAAGATATATTAATGCTGTGCCAAAACTACTTAGTTCCGAAATGTTGTGACCAACTATGCATTACAAATTAACTCCACAGTATTATGCAACCTAAATGTTCATCCCTGTGTCAAAAATGCCTTCCAATGGACTTTAGCTTGAACTTCTTCATTCAATCCATCCTACTTCATAATTAATCACTGATAGACACTTTACCCTTAATTAATCCTTTGAAGCCAAAGGTCCTGTAAATAACATATAAGAATTCAGTCCATACCTCAAAGAAAACACCCATCTCCATTACAAAGATCAACTAGTTAATACTGTTTAAGGAAATAAATCAACATTTACACTTAGAATCATATGAAATCCATGAGTACAAAATGCAGAGTTACTGATCCATTAAGCTTTAAAGGGTCAAATTTAAAAAAAATTATAAAATTTCTAAAAAGAAAAAACACACACAAGACTCAGAGAAAAAGCTTCCAGTTCCTTAAATTTCTAATAAAGAAAAGAATAAGTGACTGTCCAATAACCATTATTCACTTCATTTGCAGCATTTTAATATTAATATTTCTAAAGGTCCAAGTTCTAACTTTTTTGCAGTAGATTTCTCTAAACAAGAAATAAAAACTAATGTTACAGCACACTGTATACTTATTTTTCTTCATGGCAGAACTGTTCTGTCTGTAACAGAAATGTGGAGCTAATGTAAATTTACATGTAAACGTACCTCTGATCGCACTTCGAAGGTCCCCTGTCCATCCTCTGAGACTGTTCCATTGATGCACAGGTATTTTGGAGAGCAAACATATCCAGCCCCGCTGCAGGCCACTGCCTGTTTTGAAGGTGTAATAGGTGGATTCAAACCACTCAGAAAGGGATTGCCCTGGATATTGATGGGTGCTGACCCAGTTCCACACCCGTCAGCTGCTTCACCACAACCACCCGGCCGTGCTGGCGGCTGCTGAGCAGGTGAGGGTGCACTCACACCACTGAAAGGAGAATTGGAGTTCTGCCACCAATATGAGCCCGCTCCCTGGGAAATTGATTCTGGCTGACTATAAGAACCAAGGCTGTTGTCTGGAACAGGTGTGCTGCTTATTGGGTTGATGAACCCAGGTTGATATTGCTGTCCATCAAGGTTCAAGCTAGCAATATCTGGTGGCAGAGTCGTTGTAGTTGTACTATGATGTTTCTTAGCCTTATGTGGCAAAGGACCATACCCCTGACCAAGAGATGGAGGAATAAAGGCTGATGTAATCAGGACAACTGCTATGTAAAGTGCAGACATTTTAACTTCTGTTGAATGTTCTTAGAAGTATCTGTGGAATAAAATAATAAATAATGTATATACCTGCATTTTCATTTTACCAATAAATCCATCGATCTATCCATGTCTCTAGAAAGAGAATGGCAAGATTCAATGTCACAAATAACAAAGTCCTTCACTTAACCTGAGCAAGTCCACAAGTTCAGAACCCATCTTCATTAGATCCACTTTAATGTTATCCCCTATCTCCTGCCTTTCAAGTGGCTGCTTTCCAAGATGTTACCCTATCAAAATTATGAAGGAATTTCTTTATTTCTTTCAATGAAAATACCCTACATAACTTCCTTGATATCAGTAAAATAGCCATTTTTGGAAAACTTCACGGTGGAGAATAAAGAAAAAATGAAAATTTATAGCATGAACATATAAGACAGTATACCTCATATCATTGTTCACAATCTAGTCATGTGACCAGTAAAGCTAATAATGTGAGGTTACTTTTCTTTTGGCCAATATCCCTCACAACGGATAAAATAATAGTTTAAAAATATTTCTACCATGAAATTACCTTCTACTATAATAAATCTTCCATTTGTAAACTTCTGAGTATTCTTTTTTCCTGGTACCAATCATGATAAAAGTTAATTCTGACAAGGAAAAATATAAACTAATGTTATTTATTTAATTAGGTTGTAGATCATGAAAGAATTCAACATTCTCTTTCTGTAAGACCTAGACTTGAAAATAAAATCAATGTGCTAATGTATAATAATAAATATTAAACTTTGTTTGTGATATCTCTGTACAATTCCAGAAGTACTATACCAAAACTGAATTAACATAAAACTCATTACCAACTTACAATTTGAATTATATTTAATATTAAATAATATTTTATTAAAATATGCTTAAATATGTTTATTGTCACGGCAAAATAGTTCCATCTTTTGGAGACTAAAATTATGTACACAAAATTTACACATGAATACACACATAAAAGTTTAAATAAAAGGTAAATGTTTTAAACTGACCCTATTAGAAAGCACAAGCATAACCTATTAAATTTATGAAACAATCAATCCACAAACACTAAAGTGAACTAACTGCATAACTATAGGAAATCTGCCAGTTATAAACAAAATGTGTTCCAAAAATTTGTTCAGAATTTAATTTCCAATATAAATAAAAGACGTAAATTAAAGAATTACAAGCAGAATTAAAAATTATTATCTTCTAGATTATGGCACTGTGTAGTCTAGCCTTGTATCTTTCTTTTCATATCTGAAAATAAAATTATTAAGACAAGTAATATCTTTGTTTATATGTAGGGGCCTGTAGATCCTTATAACTTAAGGACTTTCTGTATATCTATTAACATCCAATAGAACAAAGTTAAGCAATCAAAAAACCATTAAAATTAAACTAACCACAACTGATTAACAAACTAATAAACCTACTAACAAACTAAGCAACAAAGCAACTAATTTTATAGTACAGTATATTCCATAACATTTGATAGTTACACAGTTGATTAACACACATCCACAACTCGATTCACTTACTGAAATTTATAACTTTAAAATCACTTCATAAGAACTACATGATTCCTGCAGTACTCTCAGTCATGTAGAGAATAAAATATTAATGATTAAAAATATAGTTGATATCTACCTTGTAGGCCCACACACTTCCCCACTGTATTTCAGTTTTTATTAAACATACAAACAGACACACACACAGAGCTGTTTAATGCAACACTTATATGGACATTGTGTAACCTTCTCCACATCATGAGTTGTGTTTATATAGGTTCAGGTAAGCATTAATAGGGAAGGCGTGGTCTGTTGCCTAGCAACACACACACACATACATTTCTGAGAATGCCAGATGACAGCATCTTGCTGCCTACATGCTTTCAAGGCCAGAAGCAGCACTTTGCAGTCTATTCATGGGTTTTTCAGCTCCAACTATTTAAAATGTCCCAGTACCAGAAATATCTCTTTTCTAATTGATTAATGGTTCAAATATATTATTACCTACATAATGATGATGCAGTTCTTTAAGGTTCATCATAATTCAGTTCCCAATGGGGGCAGGAGATTTTGTCTTCAGAACTACATTCAAACTGACTGTAGGGTTTACCCAACCTCAAT